CGAATAAATCGGTTCTCGGTGGGCGGGAAAAAGGCGGTGCTACTCGCGTTTCGCAACGCGGCGCGGGATCGCACGTGAAATTCCCGGGGACATATTTTGCATATTTTCGCGTGACCGTGCACACGTAAGGACGATCACGTGGCGCTGGACTGGTTCAGCTTCGCCGTGGGAACTAGTCTTCCAGACGGTTTGTAATTATTAGAACCAATTTGTCCGTCTAATAACACGTCATTATACTATTACAAAGTCGTAAAGATAATCATCGTGTCTACCCGGCTTTGCCAGCCTATTGTTTCACGGCCCAAAGGTTCTCTCTCTCTCTCTCTCTCTCTCTCTCTCTCTCTCTCTCTCTCCACGTGATCGTCGTCGTGAAGATCGTGCGTGCACACGTAACGCAGCCTCCGCCCCCGGACTGGCTCGAATCGATCGGAGAAATCGATTTTACCGCGAGGAGTAGAGGGTGAGAAATGTGTTTGTTATACTTTTCCGAATTGCTGGATTTCGTACGACAAACAAGCGGAATTCACAGCACCAAGGATCGACAATCACGGTTCGTTCGTTTATATGAAAATCAGATGGTGTCGCGTGATACAATTTTTTTTTCTCTCTCTCTCTCTCTGCGATTCGGGGTGGTCGAGTTTTCACTCGGGGAGATCAAGAGCCGAGAAAAACAGCGTTACGTTGCCGTTATATACGCGAGCCAGTTTGTATAATCGGGGTGGACGATCGTCGCGTGGTGGCTGAGCCGCGCACAACGTGTATCTTGACGAATTCAACGGCACGAGAATAGCGCGGAACGTTTAAAATAAAGTCGCCGCGGCGGTAAATTTATCGTTTCGAACGCGAAATCTGTTTACCCGTCCCTTGGGGATCCGCGCGTCGCAAGCGCGCTCGCTCGCTCGCGATGAAAACCACTAAAATATTCGCCGGCTGGAATTCGTACGCGTCTCTACGCAAAACCTGCCTGCCCTCCTTGTCACTCGCGTATCACACTTCTCTATACCCGGTTGGAAATAAGGCCGGGTTTTGGAATACCTGACCGGTTAGTCAGACCATTTAGTCATTCCTCTTATACCGGGTACCCGGGTATCGCGACGCTCACCAGAACCTCGCCTTTGGGAACTATCCAGATCACGAATTAGCTCGTGAAAAAACGAGGAAAAAGGAAAGAAAAACGCCTCGAGGGTTACAGAAGCTCACCGAAATAAACACGTTAAGTAACAACATCGGGATACACCCGGGGAAACGTGCGTTCACGTGCGACCGCGATCGCGTTTTCACACCACGGATTTCCCGTATTTCCCATAAGAACGGGACGAGTTTCCATCCAGTTTCCTCTGCACGATGCAACGCATGAAACACTTCTCCCAGATACTTTGGTTAGGTAGAGGAAGAAGTGTCTGTCGTTCAAAATTTTGATAAAGCGATGGATTGAGCAAATTGATGGATGAATTGATCTTTCTTCTCGGAAGAATACGACTTACACACTGCTACATTTACGTATTTATTGAAGAACTGCGATTAATGTGTATGTAAATGCAATGTAAATCACACTATAATGATGTATGTACTAACAGAGCGAGGGTGATTTTCACCAAATATTAACAGGCGTTGTATCTATGACTGACGGCGCATGTCACTTTCTACTTAACTCCCACGATAGCCTTATGGCTAAGGACACAAACTTCCAAAACGGAATGTTACTTTTATTAACAAGCTACTTTTTCATAAACGAACGTAGCATCGTGAATAAGCTCGATTCGTAAGAAATCATTATACACTTTCAGATTTGTATGCAAATAAACATCACAGGTATATATGTATACCTCGTTGATCATATGTTAATTTGGACGTTTATTTGCATACAAATCTGAAAACGTATAAAGATTTTTTTACGATAATCGAACTTATTAACGATGCTACGTTTGTCCATGAAAAAGTAGCTTGTTAATGAAAGTAACATTCCGTTTTGCAAGTCTGTGTCCTTAGCCATAAGGCTATCGTGGGAGTTAAGTAGAAAGTGACATGCGTCGTCAGTCATAGATACAACGCCTGTTAATACTTGATGAAAACCACCCTCGCTCTGTTTTATATATATATATATGCTCTGTTTATAAAATTCATTATATCTCATAAACGAAGACAGATGGGACATATATTTATATGACTTTTTCTCATTATTTTTAGGCGTACAATCAGCTGCCGAAGTGGGTCCCACAAGTTACGAAACATACCCTGTATATATAGTTGCAAATTCATATAAATGCAAATCTCCCGATTGATTGTAAATATCGGAGCACCGTATTTTGTTTAGAGTTTAATAACCAGCGACGGAGGTTACGCGCATTGGTCACGGGGGCGTATCCCCGAAACAGGGGTTTCATTTGCGAAAACACGCAAACAGGAAGTTGGGTCTATCAGACGGGCAATGACCTCGACTATCTTAACGTAATAAGCCGAGGCAACGCAATCATCTGACCTCGATTCAGCCAAACTGCAATTGTTGTAAACTAACTAACCAACTGTTCCCGTGATGATGCCGCGCAGTGTGCAGAAATCAGCATAAAATTATACGTTCTGCCGAAAACCAATTCCAAAAGCCAATCACCGGACCGCAAATTCATTCCGTCAAATTCCTGTTATTACCCGTTATTTCTGAAAGATGAATCCGTCTCGAACTATCCGTGGCTGTAACACGACAGTTCGTTTTTTCGATAACGAAGTTCTCGACGAGCCCCCTTGTAAAATTGAAAGAATGCTCGGCGAGTACAAGACGACGCTGGAAGTTATTGAACTCTCCTACGGATATAACTTGACAGACGCTACAACTTAAATTTTCCATAGATGCATGGAACGTTCTTGGTCCAGCGATTAATAATGCCTCTGCATTTCCATGGAATATTTAGCGGGGGAGAAAAAATTTCATTGTGTGTACAGAGTCAGAGATCTGCGAAACGAAAATATTCTCTATTCTCGGTGCGCGTTAGATCGATGAACCTGCACTTTCACGCGGTGAATTTCATGCATGCATCGTCATATTTTTAAATCTCTCTCGTGAACGTATAACCACGCGCTGTTCGCCGGCTGATAACCGATCCCGCCGGGAAGAGAGGATAGAAGAAAACAGAGTGGAAAATTTATAAAATCGCCGGGATTTGACCACGGGGTTTGAGATTTAAAGAGAGAAAAAAGAGAGAAAGAGAGAGCCGACAGCGATACAGCCGACTTCAAAGAAGCAAACGAATATCTTTGGTGCGAGGGTGCGTTAATTAGGAGAAGCAATGAATCGTCGGACGCGGGGGTAAAATGGAGGAGGAACCAAAGAGAGGGTCAGGCGATAGAGTTCGAGAGAGAAAAAAGAAAAAAAGAAAAACAAAAGAGTCTGGAGAGACAAGGGACCGGGTAGAATCTGGGAATGTCGAAATTTTTGGCCGGCTGCCAACGCGCCGGTTATCTTATTATGATCAAGCGGAATTAACGAGCTATTTATCGAGATTACACACGGCGATACGCAACGTTATAATCTAAAATAAACCACCGCTCGGTCCCGCTCTCGGCTTTATCAACCGATTTTGTAAGCGGCGTTCGCCAAACAACGCGGCTACAGATATCCCGATGTTGTCGCAAACCACCGCGAACACCTACGAAACACGCCGTAAAGAAAAAAAGAGGAAAAAAAAAGATACGTATCTCCCTTCGTACTTGTCGATTAAACTCGAAACAATCCATCAGATGAAATCATCTGCAAATCGCCAATTTGACAACTCTTAATGAACTCTTAATGAACGACGACATTCGGAGAAAAATAATACCGAAAAATTTCTCGTTCGGAAACGTATCGAGATCTGACGATCGGAGACATTTCGGACGGAGCTGAGAGCCGCTTTTCCACGGCGGCGTACGCGGAACGGGAGCGTACACGAGAAGATTGACGAGGAGGGCACACGGCGCTGGTCGTCGCGAAGGGCGATGCACACAGATGGGGCGAGAAATGGGGATGAGGTGGCGAAGAAGGGACGACCGAAGCGATATCGTTCGCGGTGGTTCGCTTCATTCGCCCCGGCTAGACGAGGACCGAGTAAAAGCGGAACGGAGCAAGTGCGACGAGAAACGAGCATAGCGAGAGAAGAGAGAGCCGCGCGGAGTCGGCGGTCGGCCACTGCGCGAAAAGAATAGCTGGCTGATTCATACGCGAAGTCACGAGCCCGTACGTCGTACGCAGCCGGCGTACGGCCGTGCAAGCGTAATCGAAAACACACGAGATGCACACGTTTTACAGCGAGCTTCTCTTTCTCTCTCTCTCTCTCTCCCGCTGTACGCTTTTACATTCGAATTCTTTCTTTCTTCCTTCCGCGAGACCGTGTACGATCCTCGCGAATCACTCGCGAACCTAGTGTTTTCAACGTTTTATGATTCTCGAGTAATGGTTTTCAATTTTTTAGAATTTCCACGAGAGACGTTAAAGTGGTAATACTGTAAAATGCAATGGAATATGCAAGAGATCGTTAGGCACATCAACTACGAATTAATCGTTTCGACCAAAAGCAGTTCTAAATACTGACTTTTTAATATCGTCGAATCTTACAAGTTACGAGCAAGTAAGAAAATTTGTTAGCTTTGCGTTTTTACGTGACGAGCGAAATGAGTAAAGAGACTCATGAGAAAGCACAAGAAAAAAGAAACCGGAGAACCAATCATTTTCCGCGTGTAGCCGCGTAAAGGTCACTAAAGGAAACGAGCAGAATACGAGGTGTCTTGTCCCCTGTGGCGAGAGGCGCGCACGAGGCATCGCGGAGTGGAAAGAAGCCCCGAAGCCGAAGGGAGAGGGCAAGGAGAAAGTGGCCGCACGGTTAGAATAGTTAAAAATAACCTGACCAAGGGTCCTGCGCCGAGCTTCGGTTCCTGTAAACATGTCCATGGGGAGAGGCGTGGCAAAAGGAGCAACGCGAAAGCTTCGCGCGGCTCGCGCGTAGCCTCCGCGACAGAGAGAGACGAACCGACTACAAGTCGGAACTCTCCCTTTGGTGGTCGGAACGAGAGAGACTCGCTGGTGCAGGGGAGCAAAGAAAAGAGGGGAAGAAAAAGAAGAAGAAGAAGAAGAAGAGTAGATTTCGTAGATACTCACGTGCTTCCATAGAGGTATCTTGACTCGGCGGTGGTAGCTGCGTGGTCGTCGGCAACGTGCTCGTGGTCCTTGCCGTGGTCGACGAAGATGATGAACCTTTGGCCTGCGTTACCGCAACCTTGACCTGTTCCTCGCCGGTGTCGGCGGCCTCCTCGTCCTCGTTCCTCGCCGCCTCCACCGGGCTCGGGCGTTTCCTTACGTTTCCAACTCCCGGCTCCTCGTCATCCGGATACGACCACGCTGACATCGGCCTGGCGACTGTTGTGGTCCACTCGACGACACCACCACCACCACCACTTTTGATCTCACCACTATTACTCGCGTCCCCCGCGAACGTGAACCTACCCCTCTCGTCTTTGCCAGATGAAATATCCACCTCCCGTCTATCTTCTTCGTCTTTAGCTTTCCTATTACTGGGTCTACCAGCGGTGAGTTTACCCGAATTCACACTGCCGTCGTTCGCTAACCTAGGCACAGTTCGATGAACCGAACGAAACGGTGTGTGTGTCCAAAGGTCCGTAGGTACCGTAGTCGCCGTCTTTGTTGTTCTTCTTACTATCGTCGTCGTCGTCGTCGTCGTCGTCGTCGTCGTGGTCGTCGTGGTCGTCGTCGTCGTCGTCCTCGTTCTCGTTCTCGTCCTTGTCCTCGTCGTCGTGGTTGCCGTAGTTGGCGAGTAATTCTCGTTCGACAAGGCCTCCTCACCGACAACGTCCTCCACGAGACCCAACGACGACGACGTCGAGTCGCTGCCAGTTGTTCCGGTCGCAGTGAACGCGGCAATACCACCCCGACGAGCTTCTCGTTCGACACCGTCCGATTCCGTGTAACGGGGACGAGAGAATCTCGTATGCAACCAGTACGGTTCGACGAGGCCTAAAGAGGTTGAGCCTCGATCATCGAGCAGGCTTGCAGCGGCGACCTGCCGCCGTCTCGACTTGGTCCTCTCGTGAGCCAGACCTCCTCCTCTTCCTCCTCTGCCGCCTCCTTCTTCACCTCCTCTTCCACTTGTCGCTACAGGGGAAGAAAGATCCTTCCTTCCTTCGATGGTATCGATTGTCGTTTGTCCCCGGGTTGCCGAAAGCAACCGACTCCTGTCGTTTGAATCGTCGTTCAGATCCTCTCGTTCACCTCGTCTCGGTAGCAACGACACCTCGTGATAATCCAGTTCTCGTTCGTTGGAAGATCGACTCCTCGTGTAAATGGCTCTTCGAAAGGTGGACGGGAACGGTGACGATGACGGTGACGATGACGGTGACGACAACGACGACGACAACGACGACAACAACGACGACGACGACGACGACAAACGGTCCGTCGATCGAGGCAGAAGACGAGGAGGCGTAGCGTCGAGGGACACGTGCGGCGGATCGGATACCACCGGCGCAGCCGTCGTCGTGCACGTTTGATTGCCAAGAACAGCGACGACCAGAAGAAGCAGGGGCAAACCCACCCCCGCCCCCGTGGTGACCCTCACAACCCCCGGCCTTACAACGAAAACTCGCGAGGCCGTCCAGTCCAGCTGGTTGTAGGCCGATCGTCTCTACGATGATGGATCCTCTGCGTTCCAATCGACTCTCTCCTTCCACCTCTCGCTTCCTCGCCCTTCCTTCCACCGAGATTCGTCGCTATCTCGCTGTACGCGTCAAAATTCCACGACCCCTCGTCCGCCTCTTCTTCTTCCTCTTCTTCCTCTTCTTCCTCTTCTTCTTCTTCTTCTTCTTCTTCTTCTTCTTCTTCTTCTTCTTCTTCCTCCTCCTCCTCCTCCTCCTCCTCCTTCTGATCTACATCCAACCTCCTATTATCGGTGTCTCTTTGCAAAACACCTGCTCTCACCCTTGTCCACAGCCAACACGGGCTCCGTTTGCACCGACCCGGTTCCAGGTGTCTCTTTTTCTTCTTCTTCTTCTTCGTCGCCGCGACAACTGCTCCACCAACGAGACCTCGCTCTCGCATTTATCCCGTCGCGTGTCGAACGTTTCTACCGAGGTATCCGCGTCGCGCGAACTCCACCGACGACGACGATATCGCTGGCTACGCGACCGCGCTCCGACATCATCGCGAGCACCGCCGATCGTTGTCCCCGATCATCACAATCGGGCGAGCACTCGCGAGCACGCGCGCCACCGTTGCTCGCCTCGGCGGCATTCTCTGTCTCGTCGTTCTCTTTCCTCACCGCGCTCGCCACTTCCGACTCGACGGATTTTTCCACGGATGCAGGCCGCGACCTGCGCCTCGGAGAACAGCCACGACCGAGTCTCTGTAACAAATAACGGCACGGACTCGTCATTACGATTGAACGGCTAATCCAAGAATCATCGCTACCGCACGATTCTTGGAAAAAGATTATTTACACACATACAGAGTGTCAGAGGTTTAAGCGGATCATACTTCCGTCAGTGTGTTCTATGAATGGAAATAAGGGACAAACGCTTTATGAAGAAATGTTTTTCGTTCGCGAATAGACCTGTTCTCTCTCCTGAATTATTATGTACGTAGCAACTACGCACTATTCACAGAAGCGACTGATACAAAGTCATTCGCCGAATGAAACACGGCGCAAGAGTATACAAAAGAATACAAAAACAGTAAATATCGCTGGCGAGAGCGGATGTTAGTCAATCAGCTTAAGGCAACTTGATGTTCGTTTACATTCCATGTAATATTTGGTTCGTTTGAGTTACGTGTATTTTATCTAACATTTATATATTATTGTATTTATATAATAATATATATTTATTTATTATATTTATGTATTTATATATATTTGTTTTATATATTTATATAAATTACCAATATAATAAATATATAAATATAATAAAATTTATTATATTTATTAAATTTATTTGTTATATTTATATAATAATATATATTTATATATTACATTATACATAACATTTATACATAATATTTTGTTCTTGTTTCGGACTGAAATATTTTTACAGACATTCTGTACATCATAAAATAATCTGTAAATAAAACAAAGAAGAAAATGTTACACATTTAAAAACAAAACGTAACCATAATTGACCACAGTGTTATTGTTGATCCTTGTTTCGAGTACAACTGCGATAAGAAGGAGCAAAAAAAAAGATACCTCGTAAATACTCGACCGATGCAAAGAATTGATTGACAAAAGACTATAGCTACATGCTTCTTTTTAATCTCACACGACGTTGATTTTTACACACTTTACTCGAATAGAAGAAAAGAAACGATTATTGCAAGATGTTGTAAACTTAGCTTTTACTTCTAGAGATCATCCATCCGTCTTTCCTAAAGAAAAAAAAAAAAGGGAATACGAACGTGTGGGAAAGAATCATCGAAGCAGATTGTCGAAGCAATTAATCCATCGAACCGGGTACGAACCGGTCCAATTATAAATAAGAATAGATGGGCCGCGGGAGATAAAGAGGAACAGAACCCGTGCAGCATGCACACTGTCTTATTCTGGTCTATGGACTCATGCTTCCTACAACTTCCTAAAATACGAGCCCCGAGGAAATAGTTCACGAACGGATCTCTCTCGGATCGTTCGTTTTGTTTCTACGGTTCTACCCTCGTTCCGTTCCCCCTTTACAACCCCCTCCTTTGTCTCCGCGCGGTGCTCGCGCGTGCACCCGACAATACAATGTAATGAAACGATGTCCAACACACGCGAACCGCGTTCTCTCCTCTCCTTGCCGGCTCTTTCTGCAACACGAGCGAGCGCACGCACGCACGCACGCACGCACTCACATACGAGAGGGGGAGCATAAAAATGAAAATGTTGCCCCGCGGAACGCGCACTCGAGATTTCGAGTGCTCCTTCGTCGAGTCTACCTCGCATCGCGTGGATTTATTATTTATGTCGAGGATCGGCGAGCTCCCCGATTTTACGCGGGGGGAAATATCGTGCCCGTTGGCGGTAAACGCGAGTAATCGCCACGGCGAGAAATAATCATTCCGGCTGCGCCAGTCGAGATAAACGCTAATCGATATTCACGATGTTGCCGGTGAAAAAAAGTAACGATTCAATGATAACGATCGAGATCGAGACGATGGAACAGTCTGCCGTGGAATGTCGTACGATCCAACTGCGATACCCTTGTATCATAATAATAATAATAATAATGAGTTATTATTCAACTAGTAATATTGATAAGTTACAAGTCGCAGACTACCAATTTTCAAGTTGCGATAATCTTATAATCTTGCGTGAAATTAGTGTCGCTCGATGGCTAAACAAATGTATTAAACAAAACGACTGGAGAAAGTTGCAGATCATAAACTTCTAACTCCTAAGTGTAATCTTACGTGGTACTGATTTGATCACGGATACGGAAAAAATCCGATTGTTGTCGTGTCGCTTGACGGCCAGAGGAAAGTATTTTAATACGAAACAATTGAAATTACAGGTTACGAACTTCTAACTTATATTCCTATAATCTTGTGTGAAATTGATTTCATCGCGGACACGGAAAAGATATAATAAATCCGATTGTCTCGTGTCGCTCGATGACAAAAACAAAAAGTATTTCGATACAAAACGATTGGAGAAGGCTACCGATTATAAATTACCAATTCGTGATGTTACGTGGAATTGGTTCGATCGCGGACACGGAGAAAAATATATAAGTCCGATTGTTTCGATGGCTAAGTCGTTTCTCTAATCTAAAACAGTAGAAAAAAGAGGGAGTCGTTGAAGAGGACCGGGAGAGGAGCGAGGCAAGGGAACGAGACAATGTCCGGGGAAATTTATTTACCAAGCAGAGGCTAGGCTCCATTAAGCGCGGCATCGTCGGTCAGAGAAATCTCTAAAATCCTATTTTTATGAACGGTCGTCGGACATGAATAGTTCGGCCTACCTCTCCGCCGCGGAGGGAACGTCTCCTAGAAATATACGCCGACATAGAATGACGACGGAGGTGAAAAGGGACGCGGGGTGATTCGAGAATCGTGCGGCAGAGAGTAGTCTTGTTTCCACTGTCCACACACTCTCTCTCTCCTAATGCAAAACTCATGTAGCATCGATAGAACCCGTCGACTTAGCCCAACGACTTTGCACGACACCGTGGCGTGTCACTGGCGTTCACCGCCGCGTTTTCCCGCGAGATGTTTGCTCAATGTACTTTATCGAGGAGGAAATCGCGCGAGCAACGGCAGATAAAAGAGGCCTGGCCACGAGGCAGAAGAGACAGAAGGAGGGCCGGCGAATATTTGTTTACGCGGCGAGAAAACGGCGAATCCCGCTAATTATAGTCACGGCAGCCGAAGGGAGGAAACGGCGAGGACACTATTTTTACGAGAGCCTCCCGCTAGAATATCGTCGGACCTCTCGTCGTCTCTGCCATCGTCTGACCGCGACACAAAGCGAACCGTAACCCTCCTCTATATTACACGCGGCCCGCCCGATAAAAATATTACACGTCGCCGGGGCTCGTTTGCACGAGTCTGACACCTTTGCCGAGGAAAAATTTCCTCCGTATCGCAAGTCGCTGCTTACGTCGGGCTCACCGTCTAAGGACGCGGAAACGCGGACGTTTTTCTTCGAAACGTTAAGGAGCCCTTGCCGCAGGACAAACTGCGACGTTCGGCAAACGATAGTTAACGAGTCAAGTTCCTCTGTTTCGACGCGACCGCAAATTTCAGCTGGTTCGTTTAACGAAGCGGATTTATAATATCGATCAATCCGGCAGAATTTTTGAGGGAAAGCGTAGGGGCTAGAATAGCGTGCGGCGCGCGCGTGTCATCGAATGGGAATTCGCTGTTTTCACGAGGAAAAATGTGCGCGGCACGCGCGCTGACGTTCTATTTTCGAATGAAAGGCGCGATCAGGGGACAAGAACGAAAGAGAGACGTAGAAACCGGGAGAGAAAGGGAGTGAAACAGAGAGAAAGAGAGAGAGAGAGAGAGAGAGAGAGAGAGAGAAAAGTGGAGACAGGCGACGAGCCAGAGATGGAGAGAGAGAGAGAGAGACGTTCAAGTAGAAGTGGCTATGCGCGTAAGGAAGAGAAGTGGAAGAAGCGAACAAGACAGACGTAGGAACGAACTGTGAGGGAAAAGCTGCGGGGCAGAAAGTGAGAAAGCGACGCAACGAGAGCAACAACATTGTACAAAAACGAAGATAGAATGTCTCGCGTTCATGTTTGTGTGTGTGTGTGTGTGTGTGTGTGTGTAGGTACACGGTAGAGGGAGGTGGACAGAGGCGCGAGAGTGTGGTACTCTTTGAACGTACGGCGGGAGAAGGCGAACAGAGACAGAGAAAGAGAGAGGGAGAAACAGAGAGAGAGAGAGAGAGAGAGAAAGGGGTGAGGAGAGAAAAGGAGATGGAGTGCATGCTGCCGTTGTAGTGCGGACACCGGCAAGGAACTCCGACTCGTCTTGTGCTAGGCGGCCATGCTGGGTCTCACTCGCGTTCCGAGAATGGGTACCTTTTGCGTACACGATGAAAACTCGTGTATCCCCTCGCAGAAAATTCTGTCGCGCACGTTGTCGCTTGCTACGTACGTGTATGTATGCATGTGTGCATGTACGTGTGGAGCGTAGCTCGGTGGAATCGTGCGGCACAGCGAACGACCGGCGAGGGTAGTATCGCCTGGTGAGTAGAAAAAGCGAATAGCAAAATAAAAGAAAGACAAGAGAAGAAAAAAAAAAAAAGGAAAATCAAAGGGAAAGGGAGCGAAGGAAAGAAGAAAGAGGGATGGTAAAGGATGACGACGACAACAACAACAACATCATCAACAACAACATCATCAACAACAGCAACAACAACAACAACGTGCGCAAGGCGAAGGAAAAAGATGAAAAGAAAGAGGGGTGGGGGAAGGGACGCGAAGCGAAAGAAACAAAAAGAGAAAAGAGAGCAAGCGTGCGAGAAAAAGAAAGGAGACAAGCACACGCACCGTGTTGACCACCACGCGTTCGCCGTTCGGGATGAAAGGAGGGGGCACCTCTGTTCACCAGCACGATCAGACGGTATACGCAGTACACGTAAAACTACGCGCGGCAACGACACACACGACGCAGTGCACGCGTCTTCGCGGCGGCTCCGCGTTTTCCACACCGTGTGCAGCGTGCCGATGCTGGCTTTCCCTTTCACGGCATGGACGCCGCACGGCGAAGCCACGCCGGAAGACGAACCCGGAGAAATGAAAGGAGAAGCGGCGGATCGAGCGAGCGTGTGAGAGATCGTACGCAACTCGAACGACCGATGCTCGAAACCGAGCGTACTAAAGATCCGTGGAGCAAACGGTGCTACCTATCGGATGGCACTGCGTTCAGCGCCGCGGTGCGCGACCCCCGTCGGCCTTCATCGTCTTTCCTCGTCGCGTCTCGTCCCGTCTCGGTGGCGATCGTCGCTTTTCGCCCCTTTCCGTCCCTCGAGTTTCTGCCGCTTCTCGCGCGCCTCTCCCTCTCCCTCTTTGCCCCCCCTCTTCCTCACTCATTCTCTCTCTCCTCTCTCTCTCTCTCTCTCTGTCACCTTTGCTCCTCCACACCGTCCGTCTTGCCTCTCTTCTCTTTCTATTTCTTTTCTCTTCTCGTTTCTACCTTTCTCTTCTCTTCTCTTCTCTTCTCTTCTATTCTCTTCTCTACTGTTGTTTTCCCTACCATTCCATCTATCATTCTCTAAACCCTTCTACCGCGAGCAAGAAACTCTCTTCTCTTTCTTCCGCCGTCGCTGCCTCCTTCGATTCTCCATCTCGCCGCCATCGCCACTGTCACCACTACCGCCGTCGCGGCTGCCTCCACCGCCGCCGCCGACACTACCACCGTTAACCGCTACCATCGCATCGCACACACCGTCGCGTCGTCACAGCTGCTGTCGTCGCCGCAGTCGCCGTCGCAGTCATAGTCGACGAGTGCCGTCGCGAAAATCGTCTGGTTTCTTGCCAGTCGTTAGCCCGAGTCAACTCGAAGACCCGATTACCACTCGATCGGACGAATCTCTCTCTCTCTATCTATCTATCTATCTATCTATCTATCTCTCTTTACACACCTCCTTTCGTCTCGTCGCGCTAAACGTAACATCTTCAGCATCAGTTTGGCTTATCTTTCTGACGAGAGAATTCACTTTTTTACCCGCGGATTAGGCGTCTGATTTTCTGGAGCATCTATGATTGCAGGAAATGGATACGTGTGGTCGATGTTTCAAAACCCGAGAGAAAGAGAGAGAGGTCTCGCTAGAATCTCAAGTTATTAAATGATCAACGAGAACGGATGATATACCGATAAACTTCTATGCTGTCTGATCGGGTTACGTTTGCTTAGTTGATTCATGGCTCGTGGATTTTAATCGCTAGGATCATTAAGATCGTGCGTGCTTAGCTGCTCGAGTGCCACGATGAAAGTATAAGAACTTATTTACTTTTAAACATGACGAGTGAGACTCGTATCTTGTAAAATATCACGCGAGTATAATGTGTATAATAACGCAAGGAGGCACGATAATTCCTTAAAATTCCTTCCAGTTTCCTATGTTATTTGTAATGAATTGTGTGCAAGTCCCGCAAAAAAAATAAAAAAATAAAAACAAATCACGGAATTCTTGAAAGTTCGAGAGTAAACCACCTAGTAAAACCACGTGGTCCTTGCGCCGACAAAGGGCCATCGGTAACGCATTGACCATCGCGATCCGTGGCACGCACCCGCAATGTCCCCTAGACAATCGGACAACAGAATCCGGGATTCTCCAATACAGATGAACCTATGCATATTTGGCACATCACACCCGGCACGTTCCGTTGAGTCACCCTTTCGATCTCAAGCACGCGCAGCAAACGTAACACGGAACGCATACCGCTCGCAACGACCAAATTTCGCTACGCTACTCCCGACCTTTCCACCAAAATCGAAAACTACTTGCGAGGAAAACGCAAACTGTCGGGGCCAAGAGTACGTATCGGTTATAATTATGACGTGGATGTAATCCAGCCCAGTAAATTAAGAATTTGCACCAAACATGACGCACCACAAATTTGGATTGCCACTTTGGGGATCGTAATAAGTGCTTGTCACACTTGACTGTCAAGTGCTTACTATCGAAGGATTGTACATGTGTTGGATTCCGTGTAATGGAGCCAACACGTTTATTTATAATTTAGAAGAGTTTGTTCCTTTACAGTCGTGGTCGTGTATGAAATAGAATGATTTCGAATGTTCTTGTACAATATAGAATATAATGTAGAATGTCTTTATAATGATGTAGAAAGTCTTAGAACACTCTTAATGACATAGAATGTCTAGAATACTTTAGAATATAGTGATATAGAATGTCTCTAAAGCATGTCCTTATATATATATATTTGGTTATCATCGTCAAGTGGAAGGGGAAGAAGCATAGATGACCAACTACTGGATCTTGTCCTTATGACTAACTTCACGGTCCACTTTTATGTGGACTGTTGCTAGCTGATTGTCAGTATTTGCATAGATTCAATATTGTTTAGGTTGGTCATCCAACACATGCAACAGAATCGTTTTCAGAAAACAATAATTTTGAGAAATGTTGCCCCATTCTCATTGGCAGCGATGAGAAATTTTGGAAACCTTCCTCGATACTTTCTGATTGGTTTTAACACGTTCTCCGCTTTGCAATTCCTCCTTTGGAAAGAGTGCTCCAAGGACTTTTAGTTAGTCAATTACAGTTGTATAGTTTTTACACATAGTATTCAATTGACAGTTTTTACAACCACTATGTACAGCAATACAATCAGTTGTCACAATTAAACAGTATCGAGACAATTAAAACAACGATATCAAAAAGATTTTTGTACAATTCATCAAGCAGTATTCATCGAGAAAGTTACAAGAAATGAAAGTTACAAGAAATTATAGCAAAAGTCAAATGGTTAAGTTGTATAAATAAATCATAGACATAGCAAGATCTATCATAGTTATTCGAACTTCAAGGGATCTATACCAGTTTGTGTGTCCTGTGTTCTTAACACAAATGTTTGGACGTTTCGTTAAAAAAAAAGAGACAAAGGATAATATAGAATGGGAGATGCGCTCGGTCATAGGAGAGGAATCGAGGCGCATTGATACTCGAGCAACGATTAGTTCAGAAAGATGAGAAATTAAAAATGAAGAGGCGAGAGATCGACGTACACTAGGTCAATGATAATAATTCATCGGGTAGGTTAATCGTGGAATTGCCGGAGGAGCGGTGCAATATGCATTCCTGAGCTTCTGTCTCCGTGACAGAAACCCAGGCTCCGTTTCTTTCCACCCTCTCCCACTCCCTTGGTTGGATGACAGTATCGATGTGCCTTACCAAACGCTATTCCTTATTTAGGAAGAAAGACGTCAGAAACGTCAAGCACAGAGTCGATCGATCTCAGTAATAATTCGTCATCTTGTTACGGATGTTACCGTTTCATCTTCCAGAGCATAAGTTGGATCGGGATAAATCTATTTACACGCACGATCCGCAAACTAAATTACAAAATATATTCGTAGAACATATTTGGCACATCGCACGGGTGGCTAGTTGTATTATGTAGAATTCTTGACGAGCATAGTGACCGCGGGTATTTATTATGCCCGTGAGTAGTGACACTCTTTTGTTTGCGTTTAATTTATTAGTTCAGGATAGGTTTTCTCGCACGTCGCGTTGTTAAATGTTAATAATGATATATTAATGAATATAATATTGATATAATATTTTAATGCTAACAATAATAGATATTTATAATAACACGGAATTATTTTCGAATAACAAGAGAAACCCGTTGTGATTACACGTAAACCAAAAGTTTCGATTATCGGATAATTTGTTAACGTTAGAGTTCAATTCAATCGTCCATTCCGTAATTGCAAAGATTCGATCGAGTACGATTCAGTCTCTCTCCACCTCTCGTCTTGTAAACACGTGACCGACAGCCTCGTCATCATCGTCGCAGATTCTCGCCAAACGTCTCGTGCCGGTTGTTAGCAGTCGTCGTCGTCGTCGTCGTCGTCGTCGTCGTCGCAAACGAACGAGCCTTATCTCCCAGCGAGATAAGAGGTCTTCGATCTCTCGAGCCTGTACGCCGTAAACAGAGAATGCTCGCATAACGAGAAAAGATCGGTTGAACACCGGTCGTTGCCAGTTGCCAGTCACCCAGCCCCCAGTCGACGGCGAGCGTCGATTCGAGAAAACGAAATCTCGTCGGAAGGCGAAAGGCGAAGCGCGTAGGCTGATAGGCGCATTCAGATATAAGAGCTTTCGAACGGTGGAGGAGGAAGGGGCGGAAGAGACGAGGAGGAGAAAGATGAAGAAGGCAGGGAAGAAAATGCAAAATCGCAAGTTTTACCGACACACCAGTGGTGTTCCACGGACATACTTGGAACCGGACACCGAGTTCGCGGAACCAGGACGGTCACTCGAGAATGCTGTGCTATTTAAAGAAAGGCACACCGAGAGAAGCACCCCGTTTACCGTTACTATCAACCTCCGACGACCTTTTGCCCGTCACTTACGCGGCCAGACAAGTTGAATCACCCGTGCTCGCGCTGTTGCAATCGGGATTTCATGGTTAACCCTTTTAACCGAGATATACGACCGTTGGTAGTTACTCTTGGACTCTTTCACTCGCAATCAGTTTTGTACGCGCGCGCAGACTGGCTCGGGGAAAATATTCGAATATCGTAAAAAGTATACCAA